TGCAAAACAAACAAGCGGATGGTGGAGCTACGCCATGGTTTTAACCTCGTTGTTGCTAACGACAACACGTAAAAACAGTTGCTTGTCCATCCGTAGTGTGGTTATATTAAACATAAGAGAAAGAGAGAACTTTAAGAAATTGATAAAGCCACTACAATGACCATCAAAATCATGAAAATATTGCCATAAACAGTTTATTTTGCGACACCATGAAACAAACAATAGCATAATAGGAAACGATAGACATTTTTATATCGTTATATCAAACAGCCCTAGTACCCGAAACTTTATTAATTTTAACCCAACCTTAACCTAACTCTAACTTTTCTTTAACTTTAATATTACTTTATTGCCTTCACGCCACAGTTCAGCTGCCTGAGGACCATATGAGGGGAATTGAGATACCTCTCACAACTTAACCTACTATAACCATATACCAAACCAAGTTTGAACTTAAATCTAATTATTTCCCTTACAGATATTTTGACATTTGAAATATTTATTTCCTTATATACGTGTGTATATAAGGAAGTTGAGTTCCCACAGTACCAATGAGTAAACAGATATGTCTCCCCACAACATCAGTTCAATAACTAGAGATCATTTGGATGATATGAACATGATTCACTGTGACAGATAAACGAATGTATTTGGCGATTAGACTCATGGCAGAAAAGATTCTCAGGCGTGACAAGAGTTAGGATAAGACCTCTCCCAGTCTAGATGGTTGTGGTGAAGAAGATGGAGCTCTGATCGGGTTACACGAATGAGAACCTGAAAGAGGGAATGACAGAGCACTGAGATTTAAACTACACAGAGTGGCTGACTGGCTTTAAAGAAGGTGGGCAAGAAGATGATTGGATTAGTGTAATGATGACAGTACTGAGTTTCACAGCATGGGAAAGTGGCAGTGGAGTAACGAACAGGCTAGCAGCCAAACACTCAGGAAAGCAAGCAGATGAATTATTACATTACTGCAGCTGCAGTCTTACTACCACTCTTCATTGTGCAGCATCTGTTTACCACAGTGTAAGTAGAGGCCAGGGGTCGGCAACCTGCGGCTCTTTAGTCCTTATAGTGCGGCTCCGTGTGGTTTGGGAAAATAAATTATAAGTATTTAGCTGAAGTGTAATTTATTTATGTTAGTTCTTTTTTAATTGGAAGATTATTGTGATATTGAAATATAAAAATAAAATTATATTCTATTATTTTTTCATCGCTCAAAATAAGCGTCACACTCGCGGAAGCCGGTATACCCGCTAAAACGCCGTGCATTTATTGAGACTTTCAACCCCAGGTAGGCCAATTATGGACCTTCGGATCCACATTATGTCAGCAGCTCCACCGTGAACTATGTTAAAAACAAACACCGCTCACGCCTCACAGAGGACAGCTTACAGTCCTGCGTAAAGATGAAAGTCACTTCGTACAGCCCCGATTGGCAGACGCTGTGTGCAGAGGTTCAGGAGCAGAAGTCCCATTGTAAACATACCACAGCAGACCCGACGATGTTTGCATGAACACGCTTTTCAGCTGTACACATACAGCCGGCTGTAGCTTTTCAGCTCACAGCCCGACACACACCAACAACAACACAACAGCAGAGAGAGCACAGACGTTAAGGCGGTGAGGCGTGATTGTGGGTGCCGCTCAGGTACGTCCGCCTCCCCTGCAGCGGCGCTGCAGACCACGCCCCGCCACACACATTAACCA